GAATAAAGCTGGTATAACTTATAAGCGAATTTAGTTTCTTATTCAATACCGCGCGAACGGAGTCGCTGGCGACAGCTAGTGTAAAGAGTGCCTGCAAGGAAGGCCTATCGTTTGCTCAAATTTCAAGTGAAGTAACTTTAGTTTTCAATTACCCTTAATTTAAAGCCTTCATCCCGGCTTAGGCTCCATATGATAGTACGGTTCTGGAATAATTTACACTGATTGTTCAAAGTCATTACATATTACGTAATATAACTTGTAGTGCTTAGATCTATAACTTTAGACAATATCTTAACTTTACAAATAAATAATAACTTTCAACTCATATGTATTTGTAATAATAAAATAATACTTTACATATAACTTCAACCGCATTTTATTTTGTTACCTATTTATTTTATTTAACAAAGTATTAACAAGATAACACTCATATACAAATATAAATAAAAATTAATGAAAAACGAATTATTCTTATCTATTTCTATACTATTATAATAAAGCCTAACCTAAATACACACTTTTTTGTTGCCTAAGATTTCAGCAATTACAGCACATTTTTGAATAATTCTTTTTTTAATAAAAAGCCCTACACTTGCGTCACGCTTTAGGGTATATATTTTAATGCCATTAAACTTAGGGGGTAAATAATTTGGATAAAAACCCTAATATGGGAAAGAGACTATAAGTTGCTGCCAAAATCAAGAAAGCAAGATTGTCATCTGGTCATGTCATTTTGACATTTGTAATTAATAATTTTACAAATGTTGACAATAAAATATTTTTATTAAAATTTCATGCGGATGAAGTCGCACGGGACAGCTAGTGTTTTAATAAAACACAGACACCTTAACATACAATAAAATACAACAATACAAAAATCAGGAAACAATCCCACTTTATAAGTCGGCTTCAGTAGAAATTCAACAAAGCAAATCTCCGAGTAACTGATTGCCTTATCCTTTGTCTGTAATGAAATGGAAACAAGTTTAATCGAATTTACTCAGAGAGCTAATTGCTTCTCCCTACCATCACTAGAACCGAATCCTTTGAATCAACTACCATATCAACAATTGATTTAAACACACTATTAAATAAATTAAAAAATAATCTATATATTTAAACAACAACTTTTGCCCGCAACTCCGTCCACGTAGAATTAAAAAAAAAAAGATAGTAGCCTATGTGACCTTCCAGAGTATCCTCTAGGCTACAAACTCTAACAATTAATAAATAAATTATGTTGAAATTGTCCTAATTATCCCATAATTAATAAACAGGAAATGTAGACAAAAACGTATGCCTCCTAATATTCTAAACGCGTTTCACAAATGCATAAATTACTTTATTTAATTACTAGCTGTTGCTCGCGACTTCACCCGTAAGAATTTAAATATAGCCTATGCTATTTACTGATAGCATAGTTTTTTAATGTCCAAAAGATTTTTAAAATCAGCCCATTAGTTTTTGAGTTATTTTAATTCATACAAAAATACAAATCTTTTCTCTTTATGTTATTAGTATGAATTTAAACTGTGCATATTTTTTTTATATACAGACGCGGCAAAGAGAGTTTATAGCGGTTATAAACATCATCAACTTGCCCTTATCCCTTATGGAGGGTCGGCACAGTATGTGCTGCTCTTCCATACATCTCTATCAGCCGTCATATCTGAATCCACTCCTTTCTTAAGCAAATCCTCTTTCACACAATCCATCCATACTTTCTTCGGTCTTCCTCTTCCTTTGTAGTCATCCACATTCAATCTTAAGTTTATGTCCCCATCGTCTCGTCGCATAACATGTCCATACCACGCTAACCTTTTGCTTCTCAATTTCTCCACCACTGTTATAAACGTAACTTAAAATTTAATGAGAATCAAAACTTACTCAGATCGTCAAACTTCATTTTCACATCGAGTGTGTTTGATACAAAACTAAAGTTTTCGAAGGATATATGATTAAACATACGCTTTGAAGACTTGACGAAACTGAAAGTTACAAGTTTTGGGGAAAATCACTATCTTGAGATAGACATTTTGTTTATTATTGTGCAAAGTTTCTTAGACAGTGACTAGATAACTTTGACATTTCCACTTATCTATCTATATTAATACTAGCTGTTCCAGTGCGGCTTCATCCGCATGAAATGTCAAAATTCAAATGCACAAATGACAATTGCTTCCTTGATGTTGGCAGCAACTTATGGTCTCTTTCCCACATTAGGATTTTTATGTAAAATATTTACCCTCTAAGTTTAATGGCGTGAAAATATATAGCCTAAAGCGTGACGTATATATAGGGCTTATTATTAAAAAAAGAACTATTCAAAAATATGCTGTGATTGCTAACATCTTAGGCAACAAAGAAGTGTGTGTTTACGCTTTATTATAATAGTATAGATGTAGATTATAATGCGTAAAGACACACTGATTCGTGGCGTAGGATGTCAGCGATCACAGCATATTTTTGAATAACTCTTTCTTTAATAAAGTCTTACACTTACGACACGCTTTAGGCTACATATTTTCACACTTTAAACTTTAAACTTAGGGAGTAAATAAATTGGAAAAAACCCACAGGTGCGAAAGGGATTATAAACTACAAGCTGCCAACATTAAAGAAGTAAAGTTATTACGGTAACGGTAAATTTGACATTGTCTATTGAGAATTTGATAAATGTAAACAATGAAATAAAATTTTCATAATTTTATTCGGATAAAACCGTACGGGAACAGCCAGTTATTAAATAAATTTTGTAAGATCAAGATGACCGAAATAAAACCAAACAACATATTAGCTAGTTAATAAACCTGTCAGTGTTATTACATATTTTACACATTAATCAAATTTTAATGAAATCCCTTGATAGAATAATAATTTCATTAAAATCATTAAAATTTAATTAAAGAAATAAAACTTAACAAAATGACATTACTCATTCGGATGAGCCTTTAAGTTTTGGGCATATTTTCCTCACTTTACTGCACTTTACAAATTAAATCGTATCTCTAGAGAAATAATGCCTCTAAAACTAATTCCATAGTCACAAGAGTAATGCTTAACTTCCAGTATGACCTCGGGTTTCAGTTGAGCAATGTGTTTAGATGCGAAGGGACGCAGTGAAGGATGAGTTTACGAGAAGTTTTGATGCGTCTTCTATGATTAAATATTAAGAGAAATGCGGGTCGGTTGAAAGTTTAAAATGATAGCTCCGCGTCTTTGTTAATTGTGCACATTGAAAAATATACACTTTATTAATTCAGTAAATAGCATAAAAGAAGTAATTATTTATGAATGATTAATAACTCGGAGTACAGAACATAAGTCTTTTAAGGCACAATTACTTGTTATTTCTGAATTAAAAATGCAATAAAACTTTACTATACATTAATCATGAAGATTGTTATATTTTATATAATAAAAGAATTCATCAAGGGACACGTTTTCGCAGCAAATTATGAAATAAGACGAGTCCCTTTGAGAGAGCGTGTAATGAATGAGTTCATGTTTTTGATGTAAATACACTTTTATATGATTTACGTGAACTCATTTATCTTTATGATTTTTATGTCTTTGATTTCAAAACATAAGAAATAATAATCCCTTAGGTTTCTTTCTTACCTTTAAATTATAGTAGGACAAAAATAATTAACCATTTCTCAGTCAACTTAGAAATTGTTTGTAAATTACGTAATTTGTATAATATGAAAAAAAAGCCCTAATTAACCTTCAATTTTTATTTCAACTTAGAGGAATGATTTCTCTTATCGCCTCATCAATTACTTCTCAAGTGTGCTTCAGCGCTTCAAGCAAAGTGTGTTCGGCTGTGCTCTTCTCGGCGGGTGCACTGGCGCGCACTCACAAGACACGACTAAGTGGTAATTGTTTGAATCTAGAGTAACTTTTACTAAACGATTTTCAAATTATTTTTATCTAAACTATTATACATTACCAAGACGATAAAATGTTTAAGCTATTTGTATAATTATATTGAAGACTAGCTGTTCCCGCGCGGTTTCATCCGCATGAAATTATAAATATTTTATTTAATTGTATGCATTTGTGAACAGTTTTCAAATGATTCAGTCAGATTTCAAATGCTAAATGACAACCTTGCTTTCTTTACGTTGGCAGCTTATAGTTTATGGTTCCTTTCGCACGTGAAGGTTTTTTCCAATTTATTTACCCCCTAAGTTAATAGCGTGAAAATATATAGCCTAAAGCGTGTCGTAAGTGAATGCTTTTGAATCGAGAAAGAATTATTCAAAAACATACTGTGATTTCTGACATCATACGCCACGAAATAGTGTATTTTTACGCTTTATTATAATAGTATAGATGTATAGATAAGCGTCTTATCAATATTTTCCTTGTTTCGAAAGGTAGCGGAATATCGGTAATGAAGTTAAGCTTGCTCAACGGTATTCTTATTAAGATCTCATATCAAATTTAATGAGCTTTGCTACTATGGGACTTTGTGGTCTAATTATTGTTTTTGTATTTGTTTCTTGTCTTATATTATTAAAATAATAAGAGTTATGAAGGAACTTTGGCAGTATTATGCGTTTGAAGATATTAAAGTTGAAATTAAAAGAAAAAAAATTAAATTCATCATTGCGGTCTTATACCACTTTGCTTGCATTTATTTATTACTCAATTGTCAATTTTACATTGCGTTTGTCGTCGTGGAATCAATTCTTAATCTAATGTAACACAAGGAGAAAGAAAGAAGAGAAAGAAAGCCTGACGTTACCTTTGCTACAGTTTTTTTTTTACATTTTTTATGTAACGCCGGCTTATTTTTTCGAAAAACTAAAATAATCGTAACACTGAAACTTTAAAGTGCGCATAAATCTTTAAAAACCGAATTAAACAATATTTATTGTACAAGTAATTTAAGATTGACATTCACTTTTGTTCAGTGTTCGATCGAAAATCAAGATCCAGTTAGCATTTCCTAGTCGTCGTCGTTAGTTGTATATCGTCTTAAAAAATAATATTTATGCGGGTGCCTTCTCTTCGCAAACCGCAGTGTTCCCAGAGGCCACGGACCCGCTCTCATCTGGTGATGGCTGGCACGCCAGTGATGGGAATCGCTGGTAAAGTGCGGCTCTGTACTTCGGGTGGCTGGAATTAATTACCATTGAATTAGTTCTCCTAATAACAAATTATGTAAAGAAGGTATTACAACGAAATTATTGGTGTTGATGTTCAAGATAAAAATGTCTATTTTGTAATATGTTGCGATGTTTGCGAATAATGTACATGCAAGAATATTTTTCCATAAAAGTGAGTTACATAAAAACAAGGAAGAATAGGAATTGCCTGAATTGATAGCTACTATAAATAAGACTTACCTGATCCCATATACGATTGGGTTATAAACTGCGTTCGCTTTTGCGAAAACAGAGCCCCAAATTGTACTGACGGGACTAATAGGTGCCGTCTCGAATACGCCCGCAAAGTTGATTACCAAATATGGTGTCCATGCCATAAACCATAGAGAGATGGTCATTAAAGCAACCTTGAAACAAAACAAAGTATGTTATAAATAGAACCAAGGAATTTGAGCTTTAGTGCTACAGTAATAATGATTAAAATACCTTAGCCAATTTGCATTCAGCGCTGGTGTTTGCAGCATCAGAGGATCTTAGAGACGCTACGTTCATTTTCTTTGCCTGTTCCCTCATGGCCTTTTCATGAGCTGCTACTGCCTAAAATAATAACACCAATGTAAAATACTAATCAAATTTCGATTTGTTTACCATTTGAATTAAATTATAAAACTTACTTGAATGATAAACCAATAAGAGTAAACGATGAGACCCAAAGGCAGGAAATAGCAGAAGACTGCGTAAGCAATAATGTAGCTGCGGCTAAGCATGTCCTTGCTGAGATAATCAGTTCCACATACTGTCATGTTACCTTCTGGCACATACCTATAGAGAGACAGTAAAAGATAAGTTACTTTAATATCATATACAAACTTAAGAACTAAATGCAAACCATGTTAACTGTGAGGGGTTAAACGATTTAGATGAAAGTATCAAATTTCAAAACAAAAGCCTGTTGTATATCACAAACGTTAAAAGAAAAATGTAAGCAGGGTGCAGAGCAAGCTGTAGTAAGGATACCTGTTCCATCCGAAGATTGGAGCAACAGTCCATGCGAGTGATGAAAGCCAGATAGCCAAGATACGCAGCAGAGCACCATTGATGCTCATCGGTTTAGCCGCAATGCCTTTTACAATCACATTGTATCGATCGAAGGCGATTGCAGTCATTGTCCAGATTGACACAGTACCGTACAAGGAACCTCCACAAGCGTAAATCGCACAGAATAATGGACCTGTGAGACAATTTAAGAATAGTAATAAATTTATCTACTCCATATTATGATTGATTATTTGTGTTACAACACTTACCGAATACCCAAGTTTCGTTGTAAGAATTAATGATTAGTGGTGGTGCCATGCAAGCCATCATTAGGAAATCGGAAACAGCTAAGTTGACGACAAGCAAGTTTGAAGGAGTCTTGAGGTTCTGCAACAGTATATTAAGAGCATGAGATAGTAGCAAATTAAAAAAATCGTATTTCATGTGTCATATTATTATACCTTTGTTGTCGTGAAGATATAGATGACCATAGCATTTCCAGTGATCGATGTGATAGCCAAGCATGTGATCGTGAAACCTAATAAACCATACCACAGTGGGTTCATAGGAGGGAATTGATACCTAAAATATAACAAATAGGAGTGAAATCTTAAAATCGAAGACCTTAAAATGAAATAGAAAAATGCAAAAGTGTTATACCAATGTGGGTCAATAAGATGAAGCATTTCTGGTAGGACTTTGTCCACCACAGTTTGATTTGCGCCGTAAGCCGACATTTGTCCGTTCCAAGCGTCCATTTTTGCTGCACCAGTGTTAAGATATTCTAACGCCATTTTGTTATCTGTCAAATCAAAAAGAACTCAATATAAGCTTCGCCTGTACATCTATTTAAATTTCTTAAGACTAAAATTTAATCACAAATTAAACACTTTATAAGTAAATCTTAGTCTGGCTAATATTGTTAATGTGAAAGCTTTGATGGATAGCTTTTGTAGTCTAAACGGCTGAACGGATCTCGATAAAACTTGGTATACTCGTAGATGTAGATTGTAGCGCATTATCTAGAAGAATACATAGGCTACTTACTTTTGTTTCTTTATTCGATAGTAGAAAAATGTAATAAAGTTGATTCTGAAATAATTTAAATTTAAATAAAATACTTACAGTAATGTTGTACAATGTAGTAATCTGCTAAGTAAAAACAAAAATACTGAAGAAAATCAAATAATGAACTACTCCAGTCTTTTGCTTCTACCTCGGCAGGAAGCCGGGCTGTGATAAGGAGCCTACTCGTCCTCAGCCTTACTGCACACCGCTTTTATATTAGTTGCACTTCACAGGAATGTCGCTTAGACAATTGTCATAATGAGATATAGAAATAAGACGGGCTAATACCTTCTTTACACATACACATGAAGAGTTACGAATGTTAAAAAATAAAGAAGTACGATGAATAACAAATTGTATTTTATTTTGTAATATTTACAGAAAATTACGTTCCATATTTTACGTATTATTTATATCTATGCTAGGTTTTTCCCAAACTCAAGTCGAGAGGTTTTAAAAAAAACTTACTCATGTGTTCTTCCAGACTATGCTCTATATCTGTGCCAAATTTTATCGAGATCTGTTGATCCTTTTCGGAGACACCTTCTAACAAACATTCATCAATCCAAAGTAACTAAAATAAAATACATAAATAAGAGTTTAGATTCATTTACCTGATAATGCAGTGGAAGATAAAATTGTCGTTATGTTCAAAAATTTAAAAATATGGCTTACTGTGTGATTTTGTGTATAGTTGCAGCTACCTCTTAAATTTTATTTATCCGTCATACACCACACCCTGCAATTTTAATATTATTTAAAGACATTTTAAAAAAGGAAACTTGACAGTAAAAAAAAACGTGTTTAAAACGGGTATTGTTAAAAAACACTCAATAGAATCACAATAAAAACAATAATTTGTGAAGCACTATGAAAAACTTACGTATAACTCCATTGACATTACTTACCAAAGTTCTGATATATTTAGCGTGCTAAATTTTTCGGAATAAAATGAAATACTTAAGAAAACAAAATGGCAACTTCAATCGAAGCCATCATTAAGCCCCATAAGCGTTACTTTCATTCCAATAGATTGACAGTCGGTAATGACAAAAAAACAATCCTTAACGATTCTTATATTTTAGAAATCTCTTCCTGTTCCACTTTGCCTTTCAAGTTACATTATCGTAAAGTAACTTAATTCATAAGTTACATTTTCCTTTTTTAATCTTTTCTTTTTTAAATTAAGCTTTTTTATGCACATTTTATTACCCATTAAAGTTTATTATGGAAATTTAAAAACTTTCATAAACTGCAATATCACTTCAAGTTTTAATTACATCTATTTTAAACTTATACCTATAAAATTATGATTCATTAAAAAAAGTAGTTAAAGAACAAAGCTAAAACATACTTTTTTAGTTTAGTATAAACTCATCTACACATAAAACATTGTATTTCATAGAAAGAGTATTAAAATATTTTATCATACTAATATTATAAATGTGAAAGTTTAGATGGATGGATGTTTGTCAGAGTTTGTAGCGTAAACTGCTGAATGGATCTCAATGAAATTTGGCATACATGTAGAGGATAGTGTGGAAGAATATATAGGCAGGGTTATGGTTTTTTTAATACCACGGGGACGGAGTCGCGGGCAAAAGCTAGTAATATCTGTATCTATACTAATGTGTACAAAATCTTTCCGGAATTTGTATTTGTTATTTTTGGATTTCGGCAAGTATGTATAACTAAATTCAGTAATTAATAATATTGTATTAACAATGAGCGTCGGTGACTCAGTGGTTTAAGCACTTGATTTGTAATCTACAAGTCTTGGGTTCGGATTCCGCCGTGTGTGATTTTCGATTTTTCGAATTTACATACGTACATAATTTACCCGGCGTTCTTACGATGAAGGAAAACATCGTGATGCAACCTGCACATATCGGTTAAGAAATTCAAAGATATGTGTGAAGTCGACCAGCCCGCACTGGGTCAGCGTGGTTGACTATGGCCTAATCACCCTAATTTAGGTTAGGATCCCTCGGTGGGGACATATAGTGAGCTGGTGATAATTAACAATATTTAAGTGTTCATTTATTTAATTTATGAAACAATTGTAAAATCATCTTTATGAATTTTAATACCCTAAGAAATGTTTTAATCTTAAGGACAGTTGTATGTTTTCAGGATTAAAATAATTTCTTAGTAGCTATGAAACTTTAAATAGATTCTTTAAGAGATTTGCATTCCTTACTTTCTTACGGATTTCTTTTACTCAGTCTTAGTTTTAGTTGTACTGAGCTTGGGTAAGTAACGTTCTACGTCGGTTGATATCTTGTCATACTTTGTAACATAATTTATTTGAGTTTTTAAATTATCTCTAAAGGAAAAGCTAAACCATACGGTCAAAGTTAAGGCGAATCAAAACTATAGAATTTTAAATTCAATTTTGTTTTTTAAAGTTAATGGTGACAAACAATTAAGTGGCCACTTGTATTCTCCAATATGCGAAGTGACCGTTTTCTACAGATTATGAGACGCACAAAAATGAATGAAAATAGTATTATTTCATTTACTATCGATGAAATTTATTTTCAACCAGTTGTATTGTAGTTCTAGCAAATTTTAAATAGCAACTCATTTCAGACATCCCAAACAAATAAGATTAATAACCGATATTTTATTTATTTTAATTTTTTTACATAAAAGTATCCATCTGCTATTTGAAGAATAATGTCAATTATATTTTCAAACAGTAAATGAAAGACTTGCTACGTTCAAATCAAAATAAAGCTCGCGTAAGTAGTTCTTTGAATCAGGTGAGTTTCTTTTTCATCTTTTTATTTGCATTGTAAATAAAATGTAAACTAGTACCATTGATAAATTCTTCTTTATTTCCTGATAAAAACACACTCTTTACAGAAATTGATAAAATTGCATTTTTTAAATAAAATGTTGTTAATTGACTCGCTTCACTTTTTTTTCCATATTCGAATTTCGTTCTTTTTTTTAAAGACAAATTTCGTCTCATACTTTCTTAGCGGCCAGTATGATATTAATTATTTCTCAACCATATTGTTTGTTAGAAACATTGAACTATGCATAACATATAGGTCCTTTATAAAATGGAATACTTGGAAGTAAACAGGACACAATTCCCTCATACTTCCCGTAGGCGGATAATATATACTATTGTGTTCAAAGATTGTTATTCAAATGTTTAATGAAAAATGTTTTATTTATGTCTTTCTTAGGAATTTATAGTTCAATTATTTACCCAATAATTATTAAGATTATCGACAACTATTTGCCAAGTTGTTTTATTGTAGTTCTTTTTTAATTAAAGAAACAATTGGTAATTTAAGTCTCAAATGCTCATAAACATTAGGCACTTAAATATGTTATGTTTTTTATTGTCTTTTTATATTGCCTTTAGATACTGAAATAACTCAATCCCTAGTGAATGAAATATTGTTCGACAAGTAAATAAAAATTAAACCCATTTCTAACAACTGCATATTGTTCACAATTTTTTTTATTCTTTGGTTTTTTATTATTTTTTTAAGTAGGAATACATTGAAAAATAAAAGAAATATTTGCAGTTTTTACCACTTTGCTTGTTTATTTTCAACTCTCTTGCAATATAACAATGTACAATAAATGCTATACCAAACGATATTCTTGCTTAACATTTTTTTTGTATTTTCACTACCGCTGGCCAACATTTGTACTGGATTATACAAGAAAATATACTCACAGAAAACCAAAACGTTACTATTAAATCAATTTTAAAACAATTAATTTCTCTAAATCTAACAATTTTACAAATAACCAAATATTTACAACATTTCTGTTAATTTTACATTACAAATTATTCCATTGTTTTATACAATTTAAATAAATAATAGCAACATTATGTTATTCTCCATATAATTTCCTGTATTTTAAATCGTCCACGTTTCTTCGCCATCATTCGTCGTCGTTATAGTCTTCAAATCTCTGTTAATATTACGCGGATGGTTTTTCTTCGCAGACTGCAGTTTTGCCGGACACCTGTGACGTATTATCGTCCGCCGCCGGCTGGCACGCCAGTGATGGGAACCTCTGGTACAAGGCTGCACGGTATTTGGGATGACTGCGAAATGGAACAACATCATCAACTGTGTCCAGAAGAGGTATGTTAAAGCGTATTTTATAGCGATTTTTGTACAAAAAAATAATATTATTTGTGCATCAATACACTCAAGAGCATTGGTACCGGTTCACTTAAAAAACCAAATAATCTCGTAAACTAAGAACGCTAGCTTAGTAATAAAGCTAGTAGTAGCTAGTAGTAAACGGTTTTTGAATACTCCTTAAATTAAAGTATTAAAACTTAAACAGGGGAATGGGAGAATATTACCAAAAATCGTATAATAAAATTGGTATGCAACATACTAAACCGCGTAAATGCAATAATGAAGCACGAGGAGGCAACACTAGTTAAGCTAGCATTCTTAGTTTAAGACATTTATAGTTATTTTGTTTTAAGTAACACGGTTTCAATGCTCTTAAGTGTAGTTTACTTCATAAATTAAAAGATTCAAATAACATAAGCTAAGTACGTACCTGATTCCGTAAACGATGGGATTGTAAACAGCATTGGCCTTAGCAAAGACGGAGCCCCAAATTGTACCCAGAGGACTGATTGTAGCGGTCTCAAAGATACCCGTGAAGTTAATTACCAAATAAGGTGTCCATGCCATAAACCATAATGAAATTGTCATCAGAGCAACCTTAAACAAGCAATACACATATTAAAGCTATATCCGATTTGATTCTAATAAGGCCAGTTATAATTTCTCTATGTTCTATTATTTTTTGTATCTAGAAATCGAAGAAACACTACATTTAAAGCAACATTAAATTATCAGTATACTTTTTGTACGTTTGACTAAACTATCGCACAACTGTTTAGTCGCCCTTTGATTCCTATGTGTGCTGCACAACTAAACAGTTGAATGGGTTGCGAAACAATAGATAATCGGCAATGACACAAGAGTTATGCGGAAGCTTTGTCAAAGGTGTGCACCCGCTCTAAAGAATGTCGTAACGATAATTTTTTGACAAATTAATATTTAATATCATTTAAAATTGGCAACCGTGCAAAAAATGCTGCTGCCTATTTTCAAACTGTAAAATAGTTATTATCGTTCTTTTCATAAATACAATGATTGATAGGCAAAATATATCAGAAATCAAGAAGGTACCTTAGCCAGTTTGCACTCAGCGCTGGTATTTGCCGCTTCCGATGATCTCAGAGATGCTACATTCATCTTCTTTGCTTGCTCCCTCATTGCCCGTTCATGAGCTGCTACTGCCTGTAACAAAGAATATAGAATTTGAGAAAATACTAAAGAAATTGTACAATCTTTTTTGCATACATTACCTGGATTATGAAGAAATATGAGTAGATAATAAGGGCCAAAGGTGTGAAGTAGCAGAAAATGGCATAAGCAACGATGTAGCTTCGGCTGAACCAATCTTTGTTGAGGTAATCAGTTCCGCAGGCGGTCATGTTACCTTCCGGAACGTATCTACAATGTAGGAAAATACATAATTAATAGAAAAGTACTACTTAATTTAGTCGCATAACCTTAATAAATCAGCCAAATAGTAAGTAAACAATCGCACAACTGTTTAGTCAAGCTGTAATTCCTTTTAGCTTATATGAAGGTGCATATAAACAGTTGAATGGGCTGCGAAACAATCGACAATCGTACAACAGTTGCGATAGTTTAGTCAAAAGTGTGCTCCTACTCTAAAGGTGTATAGAATAATCGCAATAAAGAAATGGAATCTTTTGTTCTTCGTACAAAGTTAAGACAGTGTATAAGAGGAATATTTTGAATAATCAAAGATCATAAACGGCTTACTGGATTTATACCACTAAATCCACACCTCTATAATATATCTTGGTTAGTTTGTTCGCATTGTTTTTTTACATTTTAATGTAGGTTAATTAAGGATTGAATTAAATATAATATACCTGTTCCATCCAAACATAGGTGCTACAGTCCAAGCTAACGATGAGACCCAAATAGCCAAGATACGCAGTAGAGCTCCATTGTTAGTCATGGGTTTAGCAGCAATGCCCTTAACGATTACGTTGTAACGATCAAAAGCGATCATGGTCATCGTCCAGATTGAAATAGTCCCGAACAATGAGCCGGCCCCAGCGTAAAGACCACAAGCGAGAGGACCTATGATAGAACAAAATACACTTAGAAATCTCCCACAAATTAGTTACGAAAAGAGGGTAAGTATAATTTTCAACTTAAGCAGATAAATGAATTTATTAAATAAAATCAGTCATCTTACTAATATTGTAAATGCGAAATTTAGATGGATGTTTGTTAGAGTTTGTAGCCTAAACGGCTGAACGGATCTTGATGAAATTTGGCATAGATGTAGAGCGTAGTCTGGAAGCATACAAAGGCCACCTAGTTTTGTTTTGTTTTTTAATTCCACGCGGACGAATACGCTGAAGAAAGCGAAAGAAAGAAGCTTATAAAGCACTCAAGTTTTGGTGTTAATTTCTTTGATTTAATGGTGGTCTAATTGGCCTATGTTAAATTGATAATTTATAACTGATTTTTTCATGAATTTATGACTGATTTTTTCATGAACTGAACATTTGTATATAAGAGTACTAACCAAATACCCAAGTTTCGTGATAGGAGTTTACTACTAAAGGTGGAGCCATGCATGTCATCATTAGAAAGTCAGAAACGGCCAAGTTCAGTACCAACAAATTTGAAGGAGTTTTAAGAGTCTGCAAAGAAAAAAGTAAAACAGATAAATTTCATTGAAATTCATCTAATTTAAAGCAAATTGTTTGTTATTAAATAATTTTGATTACCTTTGTAGTTGTGAAAATATAAATGACCATGCCGTTACCAGATATCGATATGAAACCAAGAACAGCAATAACGAAACCCAATAAGCCATGCCACAATGGATTCATGGGAGGGAACTGATACCTGAAACAAAAAAAATTTAACTATACCGGTCGGAGTAGATGGACCTTTAAATCGGCAAATTTCATTATAAATTAATCTCTATTATGTTCTGAACTAGTAACCATGTCATTATTGGCGCAAATTTATAACCTTTAAAAGTTTACTACGCTCAAACACGGACCGTGATTTTTCTTTAACAGGTAAGTAGTTAGTTGTGTGAATCAAAACTATTCATATAGTCTACTTCTACTGATACTTCGCTTACTTTTGCAATTTGAAATGAATAAATATTTCTTACTAACCAATGTGGGTCAATCAGATGTAGCATTTCAGGAAGCACTTGATCAATAACGGTGTGGTTTGAGCCGTACGCCTCCATCTTTCCTGCCCACACGGGCGCTGAGGCCGCGCCTGGGTCTAAGCTGTCGACTGCCATCTTGGAGTTTGTGTTTGCTGCTTTAGGAGTCGGGGCTAAAATATATCAAAAATCCGGTGTTCATTTCCGATAGATATCGTTTGTCTCTCGCAATGCAATAATAAAGAATATTTGGATAACGCACGCTTTGGATAACGTTCACAATACAAGCTAATTTTAATTGCTCTTGTGTCGTTAGTTTGAGGAATTCGATATAAGGTGGGTAGTAAATTTAATTCTCTGAATGCAAATCAGTAATTCAATACACTAATTATTATGACCGATGTAATTGGAATAATATAAAAGTAAGTATCGGCAAAAATAAAACAAATAAAAATCTAGAAGTTCATTAAAAGTTCTCCTATTTTTATAAAACCTCGAAACTTGGAAACATTTCCGGTCTTAATTAGTTTCATTCAGTTCCAAAGAAATAACATTAATTAGTACGATGACATTTTAAAAAACATTTCAAGTTTCAAATAAAAAGTTCTTTTTTGTTAAAAAAAACTAGATATTACTGTTAAATTAACTACAGATTTGGTTTTCCTAAATTATGATGGATTATGAAGGACATTGTCATCATCGAATTTTGATCTACACTTCCACAAAATCCTGCTAAGATTTTGTACATGAACTTATATCTATATCTTCTATACTATCATAATAAATCGTAAACACACACTTCTTTGTTGCCTAAGATGTCAGCAATTACAGCATAATTTTGAATAATTCTTTTTTTAATAAAAAGCCCTACAATTACGTCACGCTTTAGGCTATATATTTTACGCCATTAAACTTAGAGGGTAAATATTTTGAATAAAAATCCTATTATGGGAAAGAGACCAGAAATTGCTGTCAACATCAAGGAAGAAATTGTTATTTGTGCATTTGAATTTTGACATTTCATGCGGATGTAGCCGCACTAGAACAGCTGGTTAAAAATACTTGAACAAAACATACTCACGTGAAATAAAACTGGACCAATACTGGACTGGACCAGAAAGATAGCAGTATGTCAGTAAAGTTCCGATTCCAGTCGTTTGACTGTTACAAGTTGGAAGCAGCACATCAAGACAGATTCAAGAACCGACTCGTTCTCAGCTGACCTGTGACCCCCTTTTATACCGGCGCGAGAATACATCGTAAATCAATAACTTAATTAGATCTTAACAAAATCTGCAAGGGTTTAAAAATTATCTTCTTAGCACTGAAGAACGTACGGGTAATAAGATGTTTATGTAACACTTCACGGTAGAACACTCACGTATAATGTTTCTTATTGACAAATAATCTTTGAAGGTATATCTTCGAAATCAGTGTATTTCAACAACCAGGTATAACTTTATTTGTATTTCGATTTATAACAATTGTCTTGTTCTGTTTTATGTTTCTCAAATTTTGATAAAAAATTAACAAAATGTGACTATAACAACAATCAGGATATGAGGAAAGGTAAGTTTTTAATTACCTTTGCAATGTTGCCAACGTTTAAAATTAATAATGAAGGTGTAAAATTTAAGATGGCGAAAAAACACAAGATTATTTTCTTATACATTTTCTAAGAGGGTAATATTCTCTTTTTAAAATATCATCATGTAAATATTTATTTCAATTTATTTAGAAATAAGCAAATCGAGATTAATAAAAAGGATAGATTTTTTTTTCGACCTTTGTATTAAAATAACTCAAAAACTACTTGGCTGATTTACACAGTTATTTCACTATTAAAAACTACGTTATCGTTAAATAACATAGGCTACATTTTTTAATTTCACGAGAACGAAGTTACGAGTTCCAGTAAATAAATAAAAACATTACAAGCCCCAAAAACATGCGTTAAATCTGACAGAAGTTCTGTAACAAATGAAAGTTGTGAGCATCATGTTTATTATGAAGTTGGATATTTTTTGAGCCTCCTCAAATAGTCTAACGTAACAGGAACATAAATCAAAAACATACGTGACTAGGGAACTAAAAAAAGTAGTTTGTAGAAGTGTTCTAAACGACTTTAAGGGTAAAGGTATGAACTCATATTTGTTGAACTTAGATTTTTATGTTAATATTTTCTATAATATCCTTCGATATTGTTACTTCTTACTAATATTATAAATGGAAATTTAGGTGGTTGGATGGAGGGGTGTCTGTTACTATGTATATCTCAGACTTAGTATAGAGGAACACATATGTTCGTTTAATTATTTTTATTTGCGCGGACGATGTCGCGGGTAAACGCTAGTTGTATTACAATTTTGAATAAAATATAATGTCAAAATGACTACTTGAGATAAAATATTTCATTCCAACAATACAAAAATGAAACATATTTTTATAGCATTTTGCGGAGTGTAAAAATGTATACTGTCAATAAATCAACATAAGCCTTTCAGAAGAAAACGAAAATGTTATTTATGGCTTACAATCAAAACAGGATTAAGAAATGTGCAGAGATGTTTCTATCGTGTGGGATTTTTTCTAAGTTTTCTACTGAGAAAGGATCCAATCTTATTTATTACTAGCTTTCGCCCGCGACTCCGTTCGCGTGGAATTTAAAAGAAAAGAAAAAAAGTGACTTGTGTTGTTATGTGTTCTTCCAGACTATCATATACCTCTATGCTAAATTTCATCGAGATTCGTTAAGCCGTTTAGGCTATAAACTCTAACAAAGATCCATTCATCTAAATTTTCGCATTTATAGTATTAACTAGCTGTTGCCGTGCGACTTCATCCGCATGAAAGTATGAAAATTTTATTTTTTTGTTTACATTTGTCAAATTATCGATTACAAATGTCAAAATGACATGACATGACATGATGACAACCTTGCTTCCTTGATGTTGGCAGCAACTTATGGTCTCTTTCCCACATTAGGGTTTTTATCCAAAATATTTACCCCCTAAGTTTAATGGTGTTAAAATATATAGCTTAAAGCGTGACGTAAGTGTAGGGCTTTTTATTAAACAAAGAATTATTAAAAAATAGTTATGTTGTAATTGCTAACATCTTGGCAACAAAAAAGTGTGTGTTTACGCTTTATTATAATAGTATAGATATAAGTAAAAAGTAAGATAGAGTATTTGCTGAAGATGAAGCATGGTATTGTTTCAAAATATTTTCATTACTTCGACATTTTTACCGGAGTTTTAGAAGTTTTGGACCTCTGATTGAGTTTTATTTTAACTCTCGTGTTCCCCCAACAAAGTTGGTCAGAGTTTTTATTTAGTTCCTTTCGATCCAACTTATTTACAATCTGTTACTTTCTTTTTAATTTCTTAATTATGTTTCAATCTTTGGCAATTGTGCCAGTTTCTTATTTTTAGATGATAATGTCATTTTAACAATTATATTTCGATACTTAGGGCCTGTCCATCAAATTACAAATTTTCATAACAATCCAACATGTAAAATATGTGATGGAAATATTAGATTTTATTACCTTATCTGACAGTGACTTCATTTTTAAGCTATCTTAGCCTTTATCAGCCAGTGTTGGGACAAGCCCTTAGTCTACCGATTCCCTCCAGGAATTGGAGTTTTTATTCTTAAAACTTGTGATTGACATTGACAGATGTCAAAAGGACGTGTACACTAATGATCTAGTGTTGCGCCGCTACTTCGGTACAGCACCAATTTCTTAACATTTTGAAATTAACTACAGTTATAATTTGTACCATACTTATTATTATGTCTTTTACGCAGATAAAGTATTACATTCGTTACACATAGCTATAACCAACTTTGATTGAAGTAACTATCTCCGGCGCTGAAATTTTATCGTCAGCTAAAATCTCAGAAAGAAAAAGGTCGGTGTAAAAAAAATTGGGTTGACTTGTAGTGATTTATAATGGTCGATCAAGATCGGTGTCAAAGCGTGACAAGAACTATTACAGGAACAGGGTATGTTACATTTTTTGAACCTTCTTACAAAGAAATATTGATATTTTTCCTTTAAGATAAAGTTACATTGAGATGAAAAATGAATGACCAAAAAATCTATCAAAGAGAATAGGTGAAAACGATGTATTTTTTGTGATTCTTTAAGCAATAAAAATCCAGGAGTAGTCCTAAAGTTTGCAATAAATTGTTTTTTATTCTATATCTAAAATAGTACAATTCTATAATATTTTCGTATTACTGCTGTTGAATATTCTTACGAAACAACGTAGCCGGATAATTAAAGAACATCCTGTACGTTCCAGCCAATTTTCTTTACACGTCTCATGAGGACTAGACAAGAGATGTAAGCGAAATGAAAATCAAATATGTGGAAATGTGAATAGAAATTTATACTAAGGGAATTGTTCAATATTTGCTGAAATTCTATCAGGAATTTACATTATACATTACATAATGAAGATTTAAAAAAAAAAATTCAGATCTTCATATGGAAGATGGTAAAATATTATTTTTAATTGAGAATGCCTCACTCAGAGATTCCACGCATTCCACTCATCTCAGATGGATAGATTGCGTGAAAAGTGGCATGATCCAAAAGGTAGTGATGACAGATGACGTATGAAACAGTTATGTGGAGGACAAAAATCTGTTGCGCTGACCCTATGGGTGATGATGATGACAGATGATTTATTTACTAAGGAAAACAATCAAACATAGCCACAGTCTACAAAGGGAGTACACCGTCTATTTAAATACCGAAATTCAAGACAGTTCAACACTGTCAAAATCCAGTTTGAATAGCTAGAAAATAACTACTTGTCTTTTGTCTGGCATTACGAGTATATGTCTAAACTATAGTACAGAGATGTAAAAGCCAGACCAATTGCTATCCGAATTCCGACCTTTTATTTTTGGGAGAGTTTTATTGCGTAATATCTTACCCTTAAATCTCATGCAGTTTGCTGTGTTCCGTCCAATTCGTACGATTCCTAAGTGCAATAAAGACAGAAGGAAACATTAATAAAATCGTGTTTGTATTAATGATTCCAAAAATTATTAAAAGGGGCCAGCTGAAAACTAGCGCAGTAACGGCCTGCGCCGTCGCTGCATTAGCAACCTTTTGCCACATTTCTCTTTTTTTTTTATACTAGCTTAGGTTTTGTGTTGTGTTTTGTTTTATATAGTTTTTTTTATGGCAATAAAAAATCCATTTATTTATTTATTTTTATAACATTCGTAATGTTGAGATATGTTAGTCATGCTGGATTGCTGAAGTTTCCATTCATTAATGTTAGGGTTACCTATCTTTCCAAACTTATTTCGCAAACGTGTTTCATGAATTTACAGACAAAAAACACAAACGAATGGTTAACCATAGCTCGGAAACTGTCCATATAAGTGGTAAATTATTAGTCGGGAATTAATTACAAGAATCAGTAAAGATGTAGCTATGAGCGAATTCTGCTATATAATTTAAAAGTTTCCTTTTTTATATTCGTTATTTAAAAGATGTGTAAAGATTCTAGCATGTTTTAATCTTCTTTTCTTAGTAACAGGGTGGAATTCATTTTCTTAAAAGCAAAAGCTCGCTTATTTAATTAACACCGTAATGCAACTAACATTTGTTACGTTTCGCTTGTTTGGAACACGGAGAAGAAACTTTACGTAGTTCTACTTTTTACTTATAACATTTTCATTTCAATGATTAATGTGAACGTATCTTATCTTAAATTAACCTTACAAAAAATATAGAAATCAAACAATACATTATTTTAACGATCTTTCGGGTACATCATATTTTTTTAACATCAGATGGTATGGCGGTCAAGCGCTAGGTTAACTTAAAAACAGCTCCAGTAACAAACTTATATTACATTTCCCTTTCCACCGTTTTCTTAAGAGGAGAGAGTGGGAAGACAAAGTGGATTTGACAGTGGACGAGACGCTTAGGAAGGGGAAATGTCCTCTTTATGTGCGTCTCTTCCTCCGACAATTAAGGGTAGGTAACGCATCTTAATTGCGGATGTTTAGGAGCAGCGGTCGCTTTCCATTTCAGTTGATTCAGGTGGCCGCTTGCTCGTTTGCCACCCTATATTATAAAAAAAATACATAGTCTCATAAAAAATACATGGCTTATAATTGGGAACTTCTTGTTTACGCTCTAACTGATAACCTCTTGTAACTATGCATGTTAATACATAAATTAAGATACCGTACAAGGGTAAGATATTTTTATCGCCTTTTTCCTTGTGAGGATTCTTTATACTACGAGCTGAAGTAATTGGCTGATCGGATTATTTCATCTTACAAGCTGTTAAACAACCAATAGATTCTATCAGCTAACATCTTTTAGGCAAACAACACCAGAAACACAGAGTATGTTAATATTTTTTGAAATATGTTTTCAAAACATTTTTCCGTGACTTTATCCGTGCGGTATAAAAAAATCTTAGTTAATATGTATTCTTCCAGAACATATTTTACAACTTTTTCAAACACAAGCTGTTCCCGTGCGGCTTCGTTTGCATGATTTCGAATTTCACACACGACAATTTTTCCAAA